TTATTCAGCGCATGTCTGTTGGTTTCTGACACAATCCGGACGATCTGGGTCCACCAGTCCTCGCTTAAAACTTTCATCCACTGCTCTTTAGATTTGAGAGCGGGATGCGGGAGTGAGCCAGCCTGATTCATCAGCCGGTTTCACTTTGTAGAAACCGTCTGACCTCGCAGTGTTAGGATTCGTTCACTCAACAGTAGGGGTTTACTTTTTGTCATTTAACCAATCCCGTAGGAAGAAGAGCAATAACGTCTTTCCCCATGATGAAATTCACTGAACATTTTCTTTGTTCCGGCTTTAAATCCTCGATCTCTGGAATCGTTGCCAACACAGAATTTATGGCTCTTCGCTGATTGACTTACACTTCTGGGGTTTTTGTCAACCGTCTAGTGTATTCCAATTCATGACCTAGTCGCTGGAGAGAAATGAAATTGAGCGGAAGCACTAGGTAGCGCCAGTCTGGGTGGGAGTGAGCTGAGGCCGAGCAGCCGTTGACTCAGTTTTACAGACGTAAAGCGTGATGAGAGAATCCTCCAGCTGCTGCTTAATTATTATCGGAACAACTGCGAGTTTGGGTCATGTTTGTGGTCGTGGTGTAACGAGCAGCTGAAGTGTGTTTTCTTCCGGTTGGCGTAAATACGTTCGTAGACCCCCTGTCCAAACAGAACCTTTCCCGACCTCCAGACATTGAGTGGAATTAAATAAAGACGATGTAACTTGTTTTCCATATAAGCCTCAATTAAGAATTATTATTTCCATGTAAACTCAAAGGAGAATATTTTAATTCCAAACTATTTAATTCAGAACAACTAATTTGGAATTAACAAACATCATATAAATGTGGTTAGACTTTAAATCATCACTCAGATTGTTCCATGTACTAACCCCTCTAACAGAAACACAATCACTTCTTTTTTCTTAGTTCTTATCTTTATTTTCGTAAAGATGTCTGTTCTTCTAAGGTTAGAGGAAGCGAGAGGAGGAAGCATATGATTATAGGCCTTGTGCTTCACTACGTCTGTACTAAAGTCAACAAGATCAAAAAACTTAAGTACTTTTAGCTCAACAAAAAGAGGATTGGTTAGTGTATATTTAATTTGCATGATTAATAATCCTGATAAACTACAAGACTGTAACGAAGTAGTAATGCGTGAGTGATTTGTGTAATGTTCTTATCTAATGTAAACACCCTAATGAGGAAGCCAAGCACCTCTTGAGCCACTCACTCACTGTTATTATGAAAAATGTGTAGGCTATTATTAAACACTATTTATTATGGATGGGACGAGACACAGTTTTCACGAGACGGAGACAGACCACGAGACTGGGTCCACGAGAACGAGTCAAGACAAGTTTGACTGTTTCACTGTTTTTATTTATTTTATGTAATACTTTAGTGGTCCTTGTATACTGCTTTTTTGAACTACAGCTTCTTAAAGGGCCCATCTCATGCAAAATCAACTTTTCAGAGCTTTTTACCTTCTAAGAGTGATGTGTGGGCCTTGTGTGTGTCGATATATCGTATTGTTAAATTTGATGATACAGTATCGATATAGATCAGCAAGAGTATTTTTAGGTATATTTTACAAAATTATTTTGTGTACGAGCTACAATTGTGTTGACATTTTCACAGTTTTGAGTAAAATGAGTGCTTTTCATATTAACTTTGCACAAACTTTGCAGACTTTTAATATGTGAGCCATGATTTAGACTTTGTTTTTCACTGAACCGTATCGAATCAATTTGAAATATATCGAATCGTACTGAATTGAAGGTGCACTGTATCAAAAAACGTATCGGTTCGTGGCCTATGTATCGAGATATGTATCGTATCGGTAACTTCGTAATGATACCCAGCCCTATAGCCAATATGTCATGATTCGGGCTGTAGTTTTTAAAGGGCCCATCTCATGCAAAATTAACTTTTCAGAGCTTTCTACCTTCTAAGAGTGATGTGTTGGCCTTGTATATGTCGCCGAAGTGGTTTTTAGATTGATTCTGCGTTTTTTTTAAACAAATTGCAGCGTATTTCTGCCACCCTCCCATGAGACAACGAACTAAAGCTGCTACAGCGATGACGCAGCAGATACATCTATGACGCGTTTGACATAGCAGAAAACATTTCGCAACCGCCACCTCCCGCTCCACTGCCTCCACCCCACATCGGCTGACAATTCCCACATGATCACCTAAACAAAAGCGACAGCATAAGCTCATTGTTCTACACTGCAGTGAACACGATATAATAAATTAATCTACTAGTGTTTATTAATACTTTACCAATAGTAATGTTCAGCTGATGTCGACGCGGTGCTTGAGCTTCGTGCACCTCACAGTCCTCGTCCGATTCCAGGTCCAACACATGCGGCTGAACACGCTGTATCTCCACGATGAATAAAAGTTTATTCCTACCACTATCAGGGTCACGCCTGTCTCCCCCTCCCTCCCTGAGATGGGCGGAGGAAGGGCGGCTCACTCAGAGCCTACGTCACGTTTGGAGGGCGGAGCCTGTGCTTTCTCAGGACGGGTGGGGGGGATGAGTAATAGTCAACCTTTTACAGTTCCTGGTCTGTGATGCCTCCGAGAAATCAGTAAGATTTCATAACTATTGTGTAATGGATGTTCCAAAACCCAAACTGTGCTTGTTTATGTGCAGAAGATACAATGTGAAAAGAGTTATTTTGCATGAGATGGGCCCTTTAAATTGTACCAGCTTTTAACTCTTTTAACCTTCCAAACCAAAGTGAAAGTCAGGAGGAAAATCTCACAAGATAATTTTTCTCTTGTATGTCTTGTAGCAATTTTGTCACACAAGATCTTGTCCCATCCCTACTATTTATTGTGAGCTGCAGTGTTTCCAAATCCACTTTATTTCTATAGCACTTTTTACAAACAAAGCCGTTTCCAAAGTGCTGCACAGAGATCATAAAATGAAGACAACAAAAAGGTAAATTGCTAAAATTTGGTTTTACCAGTCCTGAAACTGTAAAACCAGTAAAATTAAATAAAAGCAAAACCATAAAAATCATAAAATAAATAGCAGTAAATAAAATAAATAAAAGACACAGAGGACCACACAACTCACGCGGTGTTAAAAGCCAGAGAATAAAAGTGGAGACTTAAAACACTCCACTGTGGGGCTGTTCGGATGTAAAGGTGTAGAGCATTCCAGAGTTTGGGGTCGACCACTGAGAAGGTCCTGTCCACCCTGGTTTTAAGTCTCGTCTTAGTCCACACGAGCTGGAGCTGGACCTCGGACCTCAGAGCTTATGCGTGGGTCTAAATCTGGATGAGGTCCGAGATGTAACATGGGGCCAGTCCATTCAAAGCTTTAAAAAACAAACAATAAACTCTTGAAATCAACTCTAAAATGACGTAACGGTAGATTTTACCAATTTGAGTCCACAGTCCAGGTCAGTGGTTTTATGGGGGTTTGCCGTGAAGCTATGAAAACAAACATTCTTCGTTTAAATAAAGTAAAGAAAGTGCATGAGTAACTGTACCCACCTCAAATTAAAAATAAACTTTTCAAACAAATTGGATAAGCACCAAATCACTAAATCCTTTTGATTGGAGATCGTTTAACACACCATCAATCAGCTTTATTGGGAACTACACCAGAAGTTGTCGTCGCATTTTGGAAACATGCAACGTTTCCTGTTTCCAAAAGTCTTCCTGGTTTGTGACATAAGCGAGAATATTTGTTTATCTTCTCTTTGGTTGCTATGACGCTCAAGGTCGGAATTAAAATATAAATATAGGACTCTCTGCAAAATATGCTTCAGAACTTCTAGACTCGATGAGCTTCTATAAACTGGAGCTGAATGCTGTTGGTTAATGTCACACTCACTAGACCGGGACTAGACCGGGACTAGACCGGGACTAGACTGGGACTAGACTGGGACTAAACCAGGACAAGACTGGGACTAGACTGGGACTAGACCGGGACTAGACTGGGACTAGACTGGGACTAAACCAGGACAAGACTGGGACTAGACTGGGGACTAGACTGGGACTAGACTGGGACTAGACTGGGACTAAACCAGGACAAGACTGGGACTAGACCGGGACTAGGGACTAGACTGGGACTAGACTGGGACTAACCAGGACAAGACTGGGACTAGACTGGGACTAGACTGGGACTAGACCGGGACAAGACTGGGACTAGACTGGGACTAGACCGGGACAAGACTGGGACTAGACTGGGACTAAACCAGGACAAGAGTGGGACTAGACCGGGACTAGACCGGGACTAGACCGGGACTAGACCAGGACTAGACCAGGACCAAACCTGGACTAGACCAGGACCAAACCAGGACCGGACCAGGACCGGACCAGGACCAAACCAAGACTAAACCAGGACTGGACCAGGACTAGACCCGGACCAGGACCGGACCAGGACCAAACCAAGACTAAACCAGGACTAAACCAGGACTAGACCTGGACTGGACCAGGACCGGACCAGGACTGGACCAGGACTGAACCAGGACTAAAGCAGCACCGGACCAGGACTAGACCAGGACCGGACCAGGACCGGACCAGGACTAGACCAGGACCGGACCAGGACTGGACCAGGACCAGACTAAACCAGGACTAAACCAGGACTGGACCAGGACTGGACCAGGACCAAACCAAGACTAAACCAGGACTAAACCAGGACTGGACCAGGACTGGACCAGGACTAAAGCAGCAGCGGACCAGGACTAGACCAGGACTAGACCAGGACTAAACCAGTCGTTGAGTCGATCTCGTCCGCTGATGGTTTTAAATAAGTAAATAAAAACACTAAAGTCTCTCTCAGTCTGGTCTGCCATCGTTTCGGGAAAAGACCGGGACCGGGCACTTGTTTCCAGGGCAACGGACTCGCTTCTGGGGGCATCTAAACTCAAATGCAAAGGCGTCCAAATAGAGGCGTCTGGGGTGTTTTTTGACGCTCTGGTCTGATACATGTTTTCGTTCTTCTCTCTGCAATAATCTCTCTCTTTTTTTTTCTTCTTTTCCAGACAGTCCGCCCACTCCCTCCTCTCCCCGTCGACCCAAAGCTCCCCGTGGACTTCTCCGGCTCGGGGGCTTCTGCTGGACCCGCCGTAGCTCCTGCCGGGGCGGGACCAGAACCTGCCCATCACCTGCCGGACCTCCTCGGGGACATCCCGTTCACACTGGCCCCGCACATACTGGCCATGCAGGCTGGGTTCCCCCTCATCCCCGACGTGCTTCTGTCCCGGGACGTTAACTACAACCTGTCCAACTTCCAGTACGACTTTACTCTGGAGAACTCTGTGATTCACAACATGTAGAAAAAATACAGATGGGAGTCGACAGAACTGGGACGTCAATGTTTGAACTTTGGCTTGGGTTTTGAACGCCCAACGAGATTACTGTGAATCAGAGAGGATTAGGGATAATTATGAGCTTTAAATAACTTATACTGTAAAGATACTAAATAATTACTTCAGATGATGTTGCATAACCAAGTAAATTAAGTACTTTAAAGGAACTGTAGGTAAAAAACTGACATGTCTGTTCCCAGATACGAGGATGGCAGGTGCTTTTAGTGATAAAATTATGATATATAATTAGGGCTGCTCGATTATGAAAAAAATCATTATCACGATTATTTTGGTTAATAGTGAAATCACGATTAATCAAACAATTATTATTTTTTAGTTACATGATGCATTTATTCAGCATTTCCCTCTTAAAAAAAACACTCTGTTGTTGATAATTTATGCAAAACTTTCAAATTAAAAATAAATCCAGGCTACAAATATGTATTTTAGAGAATTTTTGCGATATAACAAAAACGTATAAAGCGTATAAAACATAAAATGAATAAAATATATTTTGAACATGAAATAAGGGAGAGAAAAACAAATGTATCCAAAATAAACTATATATCCAGCTGTACAATTTTTATATTTAAACAATAAAATAAATATACTTATTTATATAAAAATATCCCAAGAGCATAGAGAAAAAGTCTGCACAACATCTCGTACTTGCAAAAATACAAGATGTTGTGTAAAAGTATTTTTATTAGGACAAACTGTAATGTTTCGTTAAACAACAGAACATAAGTTTACCAAACTCTCCATCTCACTCCAAATCATTAAATTAACAGCAACCTCCAGAGATAAACCATAGACTCATGATGTAAACAGAGCGCCGCTTCCTCTTCTGTGTCGCGGTCGTCAGACTCAGCTTCAGTTCCAGTTAGAATTATTCTGGCCTTTCTGAATCTCAACAGGATGGTTTCGGTGTCACTAAAGTTCAGGCTTTGTCAATTCATCCAGTGACTTTCAGGAAAGTTACATGGTGCACCCTCCCGGTTGCCGTGAAGCTGTGTTCTCAATCCCCGCTTTCCACCAGGTCCTCACAAGTTTCTCGCTCACTCTAAACTTTGTTTTCGCTGTTCGATTACCGTTTTCAGCTGAATATTTCACTATTTGCAGTGAGACGGCGGCTTTTTCTACAGGAGACATGCGCAGTAGAGTGAAGTGACAGTGGTACAGGAGTAACAGTAGTACTAGATACTGACACACGAGCCTAGAGCGCCCTCTTGCAGCTGTCAGTCTGAACATTTTAATATAAAAATTGCACCGGAGTGTAAGTCGCAGGAAACACCCAAACCATGAAAAAAGTGCGGCTTATAGTCTGAAAAATACGGTACACATTTTAGCGATCACAGGAAATTAAGCATACATAAGAGCCATGGCAAGACTTAGATGAAGTACAGTTAAAAATAACAAAAAACATAAACCATTATTTATTTATGAATGATGGATTTGTAACAATAATCAGCATTTAATTCATCAAATTTGAGTTATTCAGGACAATACTGTAATGTGCACTGCAAATTTCTGATCTGGCCAAGATTTTAAAACTTATATCAGGTTATTCATCTTGTTTTCAGATTTATTATCGAGTTCCTCATTCTGAATTGGTTGTACAATCTTAAAAATGATGAATGATGAATAATTTCTTCCATGACTCAACTCGAATGGACTAACTATAATCATGCAAGACTGATTTCAAGTAATTAGATCTAGAATTTATCATCTTTGAATTCATTATCAGGCCATTCAAACTAATCTTAAACCAGTTTTAAGTATGTTTATCTAGAATTCAGCAGAATTAAAGCATTTTATCTAAAATTTGGCATTTTATTTTAAGATAACTTGTCAAATAAAATGATCTTGCTGCATGGATGGATAATTTCACTACTTTTAAGTCATTTTCTGATAGATTTAAGCGTTTATATCTTAAATTTTGGTTGATCTTTTTAGTAGTGTGTACCGTAATTCAGAAATCCTTTGGTGAGCGACTTGGAAGGAGGTGGAGAGATGCTGGTTGGAGACGCCTGCTCTAGAAACACAGAACATTTTTAAAACCTTAAGAGTTTAGTCTGTGTGCAGTGTTGGGGAGTAACAGATTACATGTACCGGAGTTATGTAATCAGAGTACAAATTATGAGTAACTGTATTCAGTTACAGTTACTGTTTCAGTGGGTGGTAATTGGATTACAGTTACTTTGTTGAAATAAATGGATTACATGGAGGTATTTTCCTGTTTTCACATTTTGGGCTAAACCAGGACTAAACTAGTACTAAAACCAGGACTAAACTAGTACTAAAACCAGGACTAAAACTAGGACTAAAACTAGGACTAAAAACCAGGACTAAACCCAGACTAAAATAGGACTAAACCCGGACTAAAACCAGGACTAACCTAGGACTAAAATCAGGACTAAAACCAGGACTAAACCCGGACTAAATTAGGACTAAAACCAGGTCTAAAGCAGGACTAAACCAGGACTAAAACCAGGACTAAAACCAGGACTAAAACCAGGACTAAAACCAGGACTAAACCCGGACTAAACTAGGACTAAAACCAGGACTAAACCCGAATTAAAACCAGGACAAAAACCAGGACTAAAACCAGGACTAAACTAGGACTAAAACCAGGATAAAGCAGGACGAAACCAGGACTAAACCAGGACTAAACCAGAACTAAACCAGAACTAAACCAGAACTAAACCAGGACTAAACCAGGACTAAAACCAGGACTAAAACCAGGACTAAACTAGGACTAAAACCAGGATAAAGCAGGACGAAACCAGGACTAAACTAGGACTAAACCAGGACTAAACCAGGACTAAACTAGGACTAAACTAATAATATAACAGTAGTGTGGACATAATTGAAGGCAGCAGTGATTTCATATCAAAATAATTTCTCTATCAATAATATTTTTAATCTGGTCAAGTAAAGTCTGAACAAACAAGAATTTTCAGGATGTGGTTGTTACATTTATGTCGTTTTAAAAATCATGACAAGATCAAGTAATCCAAAATATTCAGAATACGTTACTCACTTTAAGTAATTTAATGGATTATGTTACAAACTACATTTTGGGGTATGTAATCTGTAATCTGTAGGGGAATACATTTTAAAACTAACCTTCCCAACACTGTCTTGTTTACAGTTCCTTTAAAGCTCGGTTACCTGATTTTTAAATCTTGTTCCTCGCTTTCACAAACCACTTGCCATAGCATTAATATTCACATGCTTACATTTGGGCACATGCACTTTTTCTGACTGGGAAACGAAGAAGGAATAGAATAGATCGCCATAGTCAGTCCTCATTTATCCTTCAAACTGCATATCTTCAGAAAATATAATCAAAGAAAGTTTTGAAAATGAAGGCAGATTTCCTAATATCATAAGTTATTTTTTGTTTTTTTGTGGTGAATCTGCTTACAATCCTGTCTGTTGTTTTGATATTGTATTTCTTTCTCTGTTTACTGATGTTTTTTTTTTTTAGAGTCACCAGAATTTACAGAAAAGAGTCGTGCGAGGAGCTTTATGTGACTATCCTTTTATAAACTTTACTAGTAGTTTTGTCATTTCAATTCATATTTTCCTTTTGGCTAAACAACACTGAACACACCACTGTCTCTGCTGTGCTCGGTATCGTTTTAATTTCCTTTTTTCCACCTCAGATTAATGCGCCAGATGCTCTTCCTCGCACTACCGTCCTCACCTGACGCCTGGCACCGGACTGTAAATGACTTCTTGCTGTCTAGATGGAAAACTTTGATGCTGTAGACGCCTAAGGAATAAATAAATATAATTAGTATTTAGTGTTATTAGTATTTTTGTATGTGGTCTGATGAAGTTTACCTTGAATGCTTTTGATTCTGCATGTTGTTTTAAATAATTAAGCTCTGTGGGTTCATGTTTTTGTCATAAAAACTCATCTTTCTGCTGTTTTACGTTTCATTAAGTAGTTAAGTTGCACTCAGTTTGGTTTGGAAGTGTCAGGGAAGGGGGAAAATTAGTTAAAATGTATGGCACATTTTTCTCTGTAGGGCTGGTAAGGCTGATTTTGCCTTGGAAAATGTACTAAAGTGGTTATTTTCTGTGCTTTTTTGTCATAGTTACTAGATAAAGATGTTACTGTGTTTACAAAATCAGCTACTAAATTGTGAAGGTACAGCTTTTAATAAGCCCTGAACAATGAACCAAAGTGTGCCTTAGATATTTGTAACTTAACAGAATTGTTCATATGTCCACCTCCATGTCATTTATATTAAATCCTGCAATGTTGTTTTCTTTTGTTATTATTTTTTCCACTTTCAAAACTCATTTGGGGTCTCGTATAATTAGCCGCAAACCAGGAAAGCACCAACACTGAAGAGCAACCATATAAATTTATAGTTTTTAAACATAATAGGCTACATTTGTCATTACCAAACCAGCATGCGTTTGAGTCCATTTCATTTTAGAGCAACCACGTTACCTCATTAATTTGTGTTTTGTTTTTTTCTGTTGTGCTTAATAATATGTCCCCAAACTCCTCCATGTTGAGCTCAGGGGTGGTGCACCCTCTCAGCCCATGCCTCCCACAGGAAGTGACCAGAGCCAATCAGAAGGGCCTCGTAAAAGTGGCGCATCCGCCTCTGAGGAAACCACGGATGTTTTTGACAACAGCTCTCTTGTCAATTGCGCATTATTTCGTTAAGAAAGTTCGACTGAGCTGTGTTCTGTTGAGTTATAGGTTTTCTTTTAGTTTAGTGAGACAGAAGGAGTTTCTGAGCTGAGTTTTGCACTTTACACTGACTCTCAAACTTGCAGCAGGTCGTGGAAAACTTTGGACACTTGAGTCTGGTGGGTTTGGCAAGATGCGCGTGTAGTTAAGTAAGTGTGTCGTGCTTCATCTGGACCCGTGTCAGTTTCAGTGTCAGTGTCCAGAACAACAGAACAACTAATGCTCTTACATAAAGTCCAGTAGAATGTCCGCGGCGACAGCATCATCCCCGGCAGTGGACCGCGCATCCCCTCCGCCGCGGGTGAGACCCAGCGGCTCGCCCCCAGCCTCTTCTCCCTGCATCACTGGCCCTGGCACGGCCCGGTGTCAGCCTATCCGTGCCACGGTGCCGTACCAGCTCCTGAGTGGAAACCAGCTCAGCCCAACCCGCTCCGTTTCCTCCTCCTCCTCCTCTTCAGTAGCAGCCAAGAGCCACACAGTACCGACGACGTCCCGCTGCTCCAGTCCCGCTCACCCGGGTGGAAGCGCCTCGGACAGCAGGCTGGTCCCCGGGCACAGGCTCTCCCCTCCGGACAGGACGAGCTCACCAGAGGGCCCCTCGGGTTCGCCTGCAATCAAAGGTAAATAAATGTCTGAACACGCATCCATCATCGGTGATATGCGTAGCTCCGTGCTAAAGCTAGGCGATCTCCTGTCTACATAGAAGTGAATGTCACGCCAAACTCGCCTTCCAAAACATGCACTTAAACGCTTGTCGGGTTTATTATCGCACGCCAGTCTGGTAACATATATAAAACGCTACTTTAATGATTTTCCTTAATGTCATGAAGCGTTCGGATGAACTATATCGAACTAAGCATGAACTCCGATCCGTAATTTTATGAGTTTTATAGTAATACCTGTCCTCCGTATTCTAGCGCCACGTTGTGTATTGGAAAGAAAAAGCAGTAAAATGATGGGCGACGCTGCACAAGAGAAGACATTTTCATTCAAAATCAGTCATATTTTTTATCCAAGCGAAAAGCCGAATTGTAAGCCTTGACTTCATTATAGCGTACACCTTTGCGTTATAAAGGACCGGTGATGTAATTGGGCAAACTTGATCGACAATCTTAAAATGCTAGGTTTTCCATTGCTAGCTTGAACATAGCTGCTGGTTTCGTTTAGTCCAACGCGAGGCTGGCTGCTAAGCTAGTTGGCTAGCTTTATAATTGGGTCATAACACATTAAAGCTCAAATGGCTGACGGTAAACAAACAACAGCGGATTTACGAGCGCTGTATTAAACGCGAGCCCTGTCCTGTTCATCCCAGTCTCATCTGCAGCTCCACAACACAACGAATCACAATATAACCACGATATGTTTTTATTAAGCCCTGTATTTTTTTTTTATTGCTGTTCGCATTACTGCACTTGGATGACATTAGGACTGCTGTTTCATAGTCGTGTTATGGATGCTTGTGTGGTGATGATGCAGCTTAGTGTCGATGATAAACAATGCACGCCGAATTGCATGAAAGAATGAATGACCACTGCTATGAATCACTACATGAAACACCACTCTCACAATTTTGCAGTTTTTCCTTGTCCAAAGTGGAAAAAATATGCCCTGGGCTGCTGGATTTGTGGCATCTACAGTGTCTAGCAGCAGCAGCAGCAGCAGCAGCACTGAGGCCTGGTAGCATTTCAGACATAAACACAGAAAGCAGAAAGGTGAGCATGCAGGCCAAGGTTTGCTAATAGAAGCACAATTTTAATAAACCAAGCTGCTCTTTTGACACGCTTTAACAGTAAATATCAACACCAGGCTATGGAAACCGCTCACAGATAGTGTCATAACTGCACCAGCGCTGTACAGAGGTGTGAGGTTTGATGTGGTAAGGGTGTTCTGTCACCCGATAGGCGAGCCACATCACTCCACGCTCTGTCTTTTCAATATTAGATGCTCCCGGCTGTGTACGAAGTAGTGTTTTTCTTTTTTTTTTTTTTTTTTTTTTGAGGTGCCAACATTGCAAAGCCGGGCTGAATCGCTGCCAGATAGCCATTAAGACAAAGTTTAATTTCTATCATCTAAAGCAGAGGAGCTAGAGTGGAACGTGAGACTGTGGCCATTATTGTCTACAGTAACAGACTGACAGATGGTGCCGATAAATAGCTACGACAACAGGTATTGCATTTTTCCCTTTTTACTGTACGGCGGAGCTCGTATCTCCTAACAGCCGCCGGGTTAAAGCTGCACTATGTAACTTTGTTTGGTTTCTGGGGTCTGTCACCTGCTTGTTTCAAAGGATATTAGGTCTGGGTATCATTAAGAAGTTGCTGATACAATACATACCTCGAAACATATGCCATGGTATGATACTTTTTTTGATACAGTGCATGATTCAATACGATATTTCAAATCGATTTGATACAGTTTAGTGAAAAAAAAGGTTGTGCAAAGTTAATATCAAAAACACCCATTTAGGGCTCTGTATCATTAAGAAGTTGCCGATACGATACATACCTCGATACATAGGCCACGATACGATACATACCTCGATACAGTGAGCTTTCGATTTGATATGATATGTTTCAAATTGATTCAATATGGTTCAGTAAAAATAAAGGCTAAATACAATTTGATACAATTCAGTGAAAAAAAGTTTGTGCAAAATTAATATCAAAAATACCCATTTAGGGCTGGGTATCATAAAGAAGTTGCCAATACGATACATACCTCGATACATATGCCACAATATGATACTTTTTTCGATACAGTGGACGATTCAATATAATATATTTCAAATCGATTTGATACAGTTTAGTGAAAACAAAGTTTGTGCGAAGTTAATATGAAAAACACCCATTTAGGGCTGGGTATCATTAAGAAGTTGCCAATACGATACATACCTCGATACATGGGCCATGTTGTGATACATATTTCGATACAGTGAGCTTTCGATTCGATACGATATATTTCAAAACGATTCGATACGGTTCAGTAAAAGTAAAGGCTAAATCGTGGTTCTGATGCTAAAAGTCTATGTTAAACCACTTCTTGTGCAAAATTCATATGAAACACAAACATTTTAATCTTCAAAACAGTGAAAATATTAAATGTGTCACATAAACAAGTTTCCTACATCTAAACAAACAACATTATTGTAAAGCTGTGACAAAATAATTTAGTAAAATATACCAAAAAGCACTCTTGGTGATACATCGATACAGCAGCCCATGATATCGATACTGTATCATCACATTAAATGATACGATATATAGATATTTTGATATTTTTGCACACTGCTACACACATTTTACTCAAAACAGTGAAAATGTCAACACAACTGTAGTTGTTACTCAAAATAATTTAGTAAAATATACCTAAAATTACTTTTGGCGATATATTGATATAGCAGCCCATGATATTGATTTGTTATCATCAAATTAAACAATACGATATATCGATATTTCTGTATTTTTGCACACCCCTTATGGATATTGCCACTGCTCTTCCTGGAATGTCTCACAGTATGACCTAAAACAGCTCTACTTTCCATTTATTCAAATATAGTTGGTTTTACAGCTCAAAAACATCCAGATAAACAGGTGTTCTGACTGTGAACAGAGTTGCCTCTCCACAGATCTGACACCTAACTTGGTCTGGTTTGGAAAGGTGTAATAGCAAACTGAAACTTTCCAGACAAAGAAATAGAAAGCGTTTGACGGGCCCTCCACCAGAAAAGTTACACAATCCACCTTTAATGCTCATGGCCTACTTTGAATTCCCTGAGCAGTAGGAACCCAATTTTGACAGTGAAATGATCATAAATGTCACAGATATGTACACCTTTACCCACACGCAGTATACTAGGGCTGTTGAGTAAAAAGGGGGCGTGGCAAAAACTCTCAAAACTATACATATCTTCAGATTATTGCAGCACAAATACTTCAAACACAAAAATAATTCAAGCATTTTGGAATATCAGTAATTGTTTGTGTTTTTCCAATATTTTTGTTAATTTTCAGACAATAATTTTTTTTTTCACATGAACAACTGACCACATTATTAACACAGGTCAACATACAACCGAAAAAATAAAATAAAATAAAAAGAATAATTACAAACAAACAAATAAAAATAATAATTACAAACAAATTCACACACATTGACATATTCACTAAACAATATTTGCACAATACAATTTATCAGTCGCAGGGAAGTCCTTGATTTATATTCAGTGACCATATGTACTAAAAAAAATTAAAATGAAAAATAAATAAATACAATAAAAATGTATTTATTAATAAAAAAAATTGGTAGAGAAACATAAATAAATTAATTAATAGATAATAAAAAATATAAATAAATTAATTAAAAATAAAGTAAGATAGGTAAATAAAAAATAATAATAGTCTGTGTTTATATTTAACATTTTAGCAATTTTGAATTGTTTGGTTAGTTTTTTATGAGAATAAAAGGAGCAACAAATTGAGAATTTGTTGTTGTTTGTCCAATGTCTAGTCCATTTATTTATTGTAAACTATGAGCAGGGCCGTCGACAGAAATTTAGGGGCCCGGGGCAAGAAGCCTCACATGGGCCCCCCTTATTAATTATTAATATTAATTATGAATTAATAGTACGACAAGGAGCCACCGTAGTATCTTGTGTAATTGGGAAACACTGACTTAAGTTTATGTATCTGGCCCAAACTGCTCTAAAGGCCAGTATTTATTGGATATTTGGACATTTTTTGGCTATATGAGGAGATTTAAGCTCTAAAATGTTGAATTAATAACTTCTATGACTTAATACAGATGCAAACTAAGTACTAAACCATTTAATTCTGCTGTTTATTTATTGCAGCTCATGAGTTTTTAATCATATTGTAGATTTAGAACAGTTTTTGTGGTTTCAAAGGTGCATTGTGTAACTTTTCTGGAGGGTCTGTCAAATGCTTTTCTCTGTGGAGATGTTATTGTTTTGTCTGGAATGTTTCACAGTTTGGTGATGTTTGTTTTTCTAGGAATTTTTAAGCTATAAAACCATCTTAAAATTGGAATAAATGTAAAGTAGAGCTGTTGGGTGTCCTACATAAACAACTATTTATACAGAAAGAAAGGACTAGGAAACAGTGTATTTTATGTAAAAACAGGTTAAACTTGTAAATCATGAGTTTTAATTTACTATTTTCATATAAACATAAAAAAATACTAAATATTCAGCTAACTTGTCCAACTCCCTCTATGTAATGTTGCCTGTAGATTTCACTCGGACTTTAGTTGCACAAATACCTTCTAGATCAGGGGTCTCTAACTAACCTTTTTCCTCTGGTGAACTACCTTTTCAAAACAAAAATTGCCAGAGAGCTTCTCATTTTAGCGGTCACAAGAAATTGAGTAAATATAAGAGCCTTAGATGGGGTACAGTTTGATAGTCGTGTAAATGTTTTATAACTATTACCCTTTTATTATTGCGCAAAGATAGTCATCACATTTACATTGGTAATTGGCATTTAATTAAATAAAACTTTAGTTATTCAGCCCAGTACGTATGAGTCAGAAATCCCTTGGTGAGCTACTTGGAAGGAGGTAGAAAGCCTCTGGGAGCTCCCGACCTACAGGTTGGAGACTTCTG